AAGATGATTTCCGGGCTCAATTAACTTTTAAAACACCGAATCAACACCAAAACCGAAGGTACCCGCCGCCGACCACGAGTTCTACCTATGGCTGCTTTTCTTCCTTTTGCTTGTTGTTTGCTCACTCACAAAGAATGAATACCACACAGGTAAGGGCCACAAAGACACAAGTAAGAGGTAAACAAGATCAAGGAGTAGAATGCTCGAAGAAGAAGAAGACACCCTCTCTCTCTCTCTCTCGGGTTTTTCACAAAAAATGGGACATGAGAATTACCAATATATATAGTAAACCAATGACAAACAATAAGGTAAGTTATACATATGGTAAGTGGGCTCGACTAGGGTTATGGCCCAATAGCACACCAACAAGGCACAAAGGTTTATTTGCCATCCAATAGGTAAAACAACGTTAAGTTGGGTCATCCCATTATTCGGTGTTGATTTATCGTTCAATCATTCATGTCGACTGATAAAACTGGTTTACATCATTGTCCAGGAGGTCGTTTGACAACATGATGTCTAACAACCTCCACCTTGGTGTCAAAGGACCTACAAAGAGAAAACGTTTTCCATTAGTGACACCTCTAACAGAAAATCGATAAAATTGAAAATCATTTACTTGTACCGATGTTTAGAAGCTCCTTGCAACTTCTAAACTTTACCAGTGGCAGCACTTTCGTGCTCATATCCGGAGGATTATATTGTGTGTGAATTTTTTCAAGACTTACTACTTCTTGTGATATTATATCCCTAATGAAGTGTAGCCTAACATCGATATGTTTAGTGCGTTTGTGAAAAACAGGATTCTTACACAGATGTATGGATGACTGACTATCAGAATACACAACCACATACTCATTCAAGACACTTAGTTCATGAAGTAGACCTCTAAGCCATAGGCCTCTTTAATTGCTTCAGTGATGACAATATATTCTGACTCTGTAGTGGATAGTGCAACTATGTGTTGTAACTGTGATTTCCAACTACCACACGAATTTGATAAGGTGAATACGTAAGAGGAAGTTGATTTCCTACCATCCATATCTCCTGCATAGTCAGCATCTACAAAATCCTTTAATTTCACGCCTTCCTTATTAGCACTAAATTTTAGACCTACGTCACTTGTACCCTTCAAATATCTTAAAAGCCACTTTAATGCTTCCCAATGTTCAGGACCTGGATTAGACATGTACCTACTGAGAGTACTAACAGCGAATCCTAAGTCCGGTCTAGTGCAAACCATCAAATACATTATGGAATCAATCACATTTGAGTATGGAATTTTACTCATGTATTCTACTTCACGTTCATTGCAGGGAGCTTGTTCTTTAGATAGAACAAAATGGTTTGCAAGAGGCAACGTGACAGGTTTGCAGTCACTCATATTAAACCTTTTTAACACCTTTGATATGTATGGAGACTGATGCAAGAATACAATGGAATTTGACCTATTTCGTTCTATTTCCATGCCTAGAATCCTTTTAGCCTTTCCCAGGTCTTTCATGTCAAATTTTCCACTAAGGTCTGCTTTTATATTGTTTATCCACTTAGGAGATGATCCAGCTAAAAGCATGTCGTCCACATAGAGCAACAAGATCAAATAATTGTTATCAGTCTTGTTGTGTTGAAAGCATAGGTAGTGATCGAATTTACTTCTTTGAAATCCTATAGTGAGTACAAAGGAATCAAACCTCTTGTACCACTGTCTAGGTGATTGCTTTAGACCGTATAGGGATCTCTTCAGAAAACACACATAATCAGGTTTAACTTGTCTTTAAAACCTTTTGGTTGATTCATAAAGATTTGTTCATCAAGCTCTCCATGTAAAAAAGCGGTTTTTACATCGAGTTGTTCAAGAACCCAGTCAAAGAGTGCAACCAATGCGAGCATGACCCTAATAGTAGTGTACTTGACAATTGGTGAGAAAATCTCGTTATAATCAACACATTCTTTCTGTGTGTAACCCTTCGCTACTAACCTAGCCTTAAATCTTAAGGGTTCTGTACTACTAGTACCTTCCTTAACCTTAAAGACCCACTTGCAATCAACGATTGATTTATTCTTAGGTCTCGGTACTAACTCCCAAGTTTAATTCTTTTCTAGAGAACTCATCTCTTCTTTCATAGCCTTAAGCCACTCCTTAGATTGACCACTATTTATAGCCTCTTCAAAAGTTTTCGGCTCCCTATCAACTAGTTCTTCGTAAGTAGCGTATGCAAAATCCAATTCAGATTCAAACCCAAACCTCCTAGGTTCACTCGTTTGTCTTCTCTCTCTATCCCTAACTAAATTATAGTTAGCTAATGGATTTTCTTCCTGAGGATGCTCTTCTATCACTACTTCATTTTCCTCTTCAGGTTCTTGGACCTGAATCTCCACCTCACTCGAAGTACTAGGTACTGATGTGTTAAATTTTCGTAACTCCACCTTAAACCGATTTCTTTCTTCACGTGATTCAGTTTTACTTACAGGTTCGATTTCGTTCCTTAGACAAGGCATCTCACTCTCATTAAATGTGACATCCCTACTCACGATGATCTTAACTCCTTTTTGGCTTCTATCCCATAACCTATAGTCCTTAACCCCTTCGGGATATCCTAGAAAGACACACTTCCTGGCTCTAGGTTCTAATTTTCCCTCACTTTGATGGGAGAAGGCAGCACAGCCAAACGCTTTAAGCATTGAGTAGTCACCCAATTTTCCAGACCATTTTTCATGTGGAGTATCACCATTTAATGTAGTCGATGGAGTCAAATTTATCAGATAACAGGCAGTTACAACGGTTTCACCCCAAAATGACTTAGGAACCCTAGAACTTAACATCATGCAGCGCACTTTATCTAGTATGGTCCTATTCATTCTTTCTGCTACCCCATTTTGCTGGGGAGTATAGAGAACCGTTTTGTGCCTTGTTATTCCACTTAGAGTATAGGGAACCGTTTTGTGCCTTGTTATTCCACTTTCTTTACACATCCTATCGAATTCAGCATTACAGAATTCTAGGCCGTTATCTGTCCTTAAAAATTTGATCCTCTTGCTAGTTTGGTTTTCCATTTGTTTCTTCCAATTGTTAAAGTTATTGAAGGTTTCAGTTTTCTCTTTTAATAGATAGACCCACACTTTCCTGGTGTAGTCATCTATGATAGATAGGAAATACCTATTCCCACCCGATGTGGGATTACTAGCAGGACCCTACAGATCAGAATGCACATATTCAAGCAAGCTTTTAGCCTTATGCGTACTAGTGGAGAACGACACTCTATGGTGCTTTCCGAGCACACAGTGATCACAGAACGATAAGTCAGATACACAGTCATTACCAAATGCACCTTTTTCATTAAGTAACTTAAGTTCCTTAATGCCTACGTGTGCAAGCCTATTATGCCACGTATGTGTGTGATCGATTTTGGCGGAAGAAATAGAGGAGTTTAATCCTCTAATTACTTCCCCAGTAGTGATGTAAATATCATTTTTCTTGATTCCCTTAATAGAGATTAACGCACCCTTCATCATTTTAAACATACCGTTTCCAATTTTACCGGTGAAGTTGTCTTTCTCAAGTCTTCCTACTGAAATCAAATTCCTAGATAATTGAGGAATGTATCTAACTTCCTTTAACATGTACACAAAGCCCGTGTTAAATTTTATCTTTATATCTCCAATTCCAGCAATTGTATAGGCAAAGTTATCACACAGAACTACTTGCCCATCATTAGATTCTTGCAAGTTTTCAAACCAGTTCTTTTCAGACGTCACATGAAAAGACGCACCAGATTTCATGCACCAGAATCTAATATCCATTCATGCATGTGAGAATTAGTAGTTAGATTCAATTCAGTAGTGTATGTGACTAGACTAGTGATCACATAGACTTCACCGTTTTCAGTATCGGAGGTAGAGGATAACACATTTACCTCATCTCTTTCCTTAACCTTTTGTTTTCCCCTTTCTTTATGGCAGTCTTTTATAAAATGCCCTGTGCCTCCACAGCCATAGCATTTTCTAGCATTAGTTTTAGACTTTGACCTAGGTCTACCATTGCCTTTCTTTTTCCAACTATTACTACTTGATTCGGCACTACTTTGGTATTCATCATGACTGGCTTGCCTAAATTGAGTTCTACCCCGCATCATATGCAACTCTCTACTCCTCCTATCCTGTTTTTCAGCCCTCATTTCCATCTCTTTACTCCTAAGAGAATCTACGACAATTTTAGGTATTAACGTGTCCCTACCATACTTAATAGCATTCTTAACTTCTTTATAAGAGTCCGGGATTGAATTGAGCAAAATAATAGCCTTATAAGTCTCAGACACGGCTTCGTCACAATTGACAATATCTTGCACCAATTTGTTAAATACATCTAAATTGTTGTCGAGATCCTTTGAAGGATCCATCTTAAAGCTGAAGAATCATTCGAGTAGGTAGAGTTTATTCGGTGTAGATTTAAGCAAGTATAAGTCTTCTAGTTTTTTCCAAAGTTCTTTGGTGATCTTTAGTTTTCCCACTTTTCTTAAGACAGCGTCAGACAAGTATAATATTATTGAGGTATAGGCAAGCTCATCGGCTTCCTCTTTTTGTTCTTTTGACATGTCAGGTGCAAAATTGCCTTCGATGGCTTTTGACACCTTTTGTTGGACTAATATGCCTCTCATCTTTTGTTGCCAGATAGAGAAGTCCCATTTACCGTTAAATATTTCCAAATCAAAATTATGTGTTGTCATTGGTTAACACACTAATTAGGCCACACGAAGTAGTATTGGGAAGCGTGATAAGGTAATATCTTGTTAATTCTGAGCAAAAGTAACAATGAACCTAAACGCTACGTCCACCAAGAAATACCAAGCACTTAAATCAAAAAAATAAGCACTCAATTAACGAAAGTAATCCTAGTTCTAGCACAAGCAATGGTTACCCCTTCACGGTAACCCCAAAACCTAACGATCACCCCACACAATGATCTTGCTATTGCTGAATTTAAATGGATTAAGCCAATTTACCAGAGCGGACCTATCTGAGTTCGTAGAGTGGAGAAAAACGAGCTTGCTGTTCAATTGCAGTCGGCGTAGCACCAGGGGCAAAATCGTCCAACTTTTTCTGTGTAACCTGAAACACAAAACAAAGTATATCAGCGCGTTCAGGGGATCGAAACAAGCAAGTTACCTGAAGATAGCTTCGCCGAAATGCCGTCCACGCGCCGCCCATGCGCCACCTCACCAAGGGCGCCTCGACCTGTTGGTAATGGGTATGGTCTCCGTTTGTCCAACTGAGCTTTGGTTTGTGAGTAATTGAAGAATTTCAGATTCGACTAAAATGTTGAAATCGCGAAAATCAACCAATTTTGAGCCGATTTTTGCCAACCAAGCTCTGATACCAGATGTTAGGATCTTCCTCTAGCTGCTCAAGATGATTTTTGGGCTCAGTTAATATTTAAAACACCGAATCAACACCAAAAACGAAGGTACCCGCCGCCGACCACGAGTTCTACCTATGGTTGCTTTTATTCCTTTTGCTTGTTATTTGCTCACTCACAAAGAATGAATACCACATAGGTAAGGGTCACAAAGACACAAGCAAGAGGTAGAGAAGATCAAGGAGTAGAATGCTCGAAGAAGAAGAAGAAGACAGCCTCTCTCTCTCTCTCTCTATTTTTTCACAAAAAAGGGGACATGAGAATTACCAATATATATAGTAAACCAATGACAAACAATAAGGTAAGTTATACATATGGTAAGTGGGCTCGACTAGGGTCATGGCCCAATAGCACACCAACAAGCCACAAAGGTTTATTAGCCATCCAATAGGTAAAACAACGTTAAGTCGGGTCATCCCATTATTCGGTGTTGATTTATCGTTCAGTCATGCATGTCGACTGATAAAACTGGTTTACATCATCGCCCGGGAGGTCGTTTGACAACATGATGTCTAACAGTTGGAATGACTAAGATATGGCAATATTTTCTCTCTTCATCCCTTTTCTTTTGAATTTTTAGGATGCGTGCTCTGCGATATTCACTACTATTTTGTAACCTAAATTTAGGATCTATGCGAATATATGAGAGATTATGGTGATTTGTTTCAATAAAATTTGTAAGTGTATAAAAAAAAAAATTAGTTAGGGCCAAGAGAGTGAAATTTGACTTATTGATGTCCTGTGGATTTTTAGCGGTTTCGAGGCCACTTCTGCAACCTTGAAAGCTCTGATTCATTGTGCTTAGTACTATGAGTGTTTTCGAGTGACAAAAGCTTATGAAGATGCAGGAATTCTCTCCAAACCCCGGGCCTAATGGAAAAACAAATCGTTATGTTCTTCTCTGTTTTCTCCTTATTTTTGCCAAAACTTATATGTTGTTATTCCAGTATTATTTGGGTACATGAGCATTTCTTGTTTCGAGACTATTATTTAGCAAGCTTTTATTATTATTTATTTATTTATTTATTTTTATTTTTTGACATGAGGCAATAAAATCTTAGAATATCTTGTTGATTCTTAATGATTATATTCATATGTGGAATACGTTATTTCTCTGTTTTAAGAATTAGAATTATCAAAATTTGTTAAAATTTACAGATTTTTCTCAAGTATCTATTGAGAATTTACCTATGCATGCACAACGAAATTTAAAACTAAGTTTAATTCCCTTCAAAAATCGTCTTTGTATTTGGATAGAAATTGTAATTAGAATTATACCTTTAGCAAATTCTTCAAACTTTATAGAGAATTTTGAAGGCAAAGAATCACGATCATTGCTCCTCATGAATCTTGATCTACGATGGTTTTTGCACACCTTTATGAATCACGATCTTTCCATACCTTTGTGAATCAAGATCTTTCTCGACAATAAAAACCTATGAACCACAACACTTCGGCCATGAATAAAAACTTGTCAACAGTTATAAAGGACAATGAATATATTATACAAATTATCATCTCACTTAAAGAAAAAAATAAACCATGAAACCAAGTCAGAACTGATCATATTATGACATCACATATGCAAAACATAAATGAATAATCAACTTAAATTTTAAAGCTAAGAGTTCCAAAACGAATAAAAATCAGCAGTAAGCATCAAGTCTAGACGCATATAGAGTTGACGACGGTCAATAGGCTTAAATGAGAGAGAATGATAGAGGGTAGCATTTAGTTTTAGAGCTGGAGAGAAAGAGGAAGTATGAGATAAATGATAAGAATTTGTAAACTAGACCGTGAGGTTTCAAATTTTTAATTTTTACATTTGTTCCTTTTCTTTTTTTTTTTTTTTTTCAATTTTTTTAAGTAGTGGGTTGGGTTGGGCGGTTTCATCGATTTTGATGGATCAATCCATAACCCGACCTAACCCAACCCATTGTCTTTTAAAAAAAACCCAACTCAACAAAATAAAAAAAATTAAAAAAATCGACACAAATCGGTCGGTTCAATTTGGGTTGGTCAGTTCATGGGTTGTTCAGTTATTGGCCACCTCTATATGGAACAAAATTTTGTAAACTGCCATTTCAAAAATTAGATTTAAAGTTTGTTCATATACATATCAGATGATAATTCAATATTTAATAATAATATTTTAAAGATTTAATATACCCACTCACCCTCACACCACCCTTATCCCCACCCTCACCGAAATTCACTCAATTTTCTCTCTCTACGTTCATTCTCTATCTCCTTCCATTATACATGGGGAATTTTTAAGAAAGGCCTGGTCAAGCCTTTCAAAATTTTTTGAGGCCTAACTTACTCCAAATAAATTTTTTAGGCCTCTTTTATGCTAAAATGTTTAAATTATACTTTTCTATATTGTTGATAAGTCTTAAATGCCCTTTACATAAATGACTATAATATCCTTTCTATAACATTTTCAGGAAAAAAATGAATGACGAAAAATGACTCTAGTCGATTTAAACGACTGCAGTCATTTATTTCTCAAAACGGCTCTAGTCATTTAAAACAATTTTAGTCATTTTATGAGAAAAATAACTGCAGTCGTTTACAATGACTCTAGACAACTAGAGTCGTTTTTCATTTTACAAAAGCCCTTTGTTGAGAATTGTATGGTCGCAACCAACTTAAGGCAAACAGAAAATTCATTTAGATTACAATCAAAAACTTTTTTTAAAAGAAAAATGACTATTTTCATTTTAAACTACTGAAATCATTTTTCATTTATCACTTTCGAGTTCGAATGATATCTCACCTTTTATTATACGTAATAGTTTAACTTATTTAAAATTAATTATAAGACATGTACTTAAAATCAAATACAGTATACTTGAACAATATGCAGTGGAGCACGATAAATTATATGTGACGAACTTCATCTTCCACTACATTTTTAAACGAAATAGATTAAAATCAAACATGGTTTAAAAGATTCCTTCTTTGATTAGCCTCTCGTTTTTCATTATACATGAACTTACTAAAGCCAATTGTAAGTTGTATGCTTAAATACTGATATGGTATGCTTGATCAATGTGTAATGGAGTAAAGTGACGAGTTTCCCTTCCTATATGTTTTTAAATGAAATAGGTTGAAATCAAGCATATACTAAAATGTTTGAAGTTTGAAAGACATCTTTTCTTTCATTATAAATGATAGTTTAACTTGTTCAAAATCAATTGTAAGTTATCTAACTCAAAATCGAATATGGTATACTTGAATTGTGTGCTGTGAAGCACAATGAATTTTATAAAAAGATGCTCATCTTCCTATATTTCTTTTTAAATGAAATAAGTTGAAATCTAACATAATTTGAAAGTTTAGAAGTTTAACTGACATATCATCTTTCATTATACATGATGATTTAATTTATCGAAATCAAAATATAAGTCGTATGAATAAAAATTGAATGAGATATATTTGAACAGTGTGTAGTGGAGTATGACGATTAAGTTCACCTTCCCATATGTTTTTCACATGAATATGTTAAAATCAAACATAGTTTAGATTGTTAAAATTTTGAATGTCGCGTTTTTCGTTATAAATAATGTTTTAACCTATTGAAACCAATTGTAAAATGCATTCTTAAGATTGAATATGATATACTCAAACTATGTAGTTGAGCACGATGAGTTGTAATAACAAAATTGGTCTTCCAGTACATTTTGGACGAAATAGGTTGAAATCAAATACATTTTAAAATGTTAGAATTACAATTGGCTCTTTCATTATACATGATGGTTTAACTTATCAAAATCAATTGTAAGTCGTATACTTAAAAATTGAATTTGGTGTACTAGAGCAGAGTGTAGTGGAGCACGATCCCATATATATTACAATGTATGCTTTATGTTCTAAGTTGTTATCATAATTCATACCTAATTTGTGTTTTATGAATGTTGGATATTGATTTTCATGTTCTTTTATTTTATATAACAAATGATGAATGAAAAAAGAAACGATTAAAGTTGTTTAAATTGATTAGAGTCATTTTCAGTTGTAACAAGAAAAGGACTGCAGTCGTTTGAAATAAGTGGAGTCGTTTTACAGATTCATATCTCTTTTTGCATCATATACTAGTTTTTCTATACATTTTTTTAAAGTGAAAATATTTTGAAAGCAACCCAAAAACAATTTAAAATGTTTAAATTATTTAACTTATAAGGTTTTGCGTTTGATTGACTTCTTGTCTTTTAACTACAGAAATATTTCGTTTATTCGAACTTCTTCACTAGCTTCTATGTTACTAATAAAAATCATATCTTCACTAGCTTCTATATTACTGATAAAAAGCTTTATTTTGGTGATAGTAACAGTGATCACATTTCTCAGATCATAAATCATAGTTTCAAACCTATTTCGAGCTTAAATAGCAAAAATATAACATTATTAGCAGAGCACGATGAATTGTATATAATGAAGTTTATCTTCTTATTCATTTTAAACTAAAAAGTCGAAACCAAACACGATTTATAATGTTAGAAGTTTGATTCTCACCTTATACATCGTGTTTAGGAAAATGGGCACTGTCGTTTTTACGAAACGACAGTAGTACATCAAAAGGTCCTACAAATTATAATCAAGGACAAAAATATAGGCATTGTATAATTTCTCCACGTTTGACACGTTATGTACATCGTCTAATGCATCGTGTACCTTCTCCACATTTGAAACGTTGGAACGTGTTATGACCTTTGCATTACATTGATTACAAATGTATATTTATGTCATCCTACAAATGGCATGACAATATTAGCAACTCATTCAGACATGCACAACAATATGAAAACCACAACAAGGTAATGATATCATAGTAAACAACAAAGATTTCGATAATCAAAATGCGAGGTGAATATAAGAAAGAATTTGGATGGCTCTCTAAACATATTTTCTTATCCAAGAGCACAAAATAATGGAAGGATTACATCTAACTACTTAAATTTTTCCCTCTCTCTTTAATTCTCTTAACAACTTTTGAATTGAATTGAATTTCCCCCAAGCACGGCAATCTCTATAATTTCTATACGCACAATGGAAGTGTTTAAAAATCATCATGTGCAGATATGTGTAAATATGAAAAACAAATAACACAGCAAAAATGCATAAGGTACACATAAACATGGATCTTGTAAATTATATAGACAATAACATGATTTAACTAACTAAAGATACAATTTTCCGTGGCTAATAGTAATCAATGATATTCAATTTGTTAGTAGACGGGGCAGTAATTTCAAGACAGATGAATAGAGACTTGCACACATTACCAGGAAATGAGCTTCTTGGTTTTGCATATGGCTGCAAAGGTTCTAGAGTTTTCACCTTGTCCCACAGCTTCAAATTGTCTTCTTTGTCATTTCAAACCTCTTCCACTTTATTAAAGCCTTTATATTTATAGAACTTTCTACAAGATTTATAGAGAAAAAGCCAGATTAGAAAATAAGTTGACGGTGTAATAGAAAAAGAAACTTAATAGAAAAAGCCAGATTAGAAAACAAATATTTCAATCAATGGATACAAAATAGAAAGTTATGGAAAACCAAGTAACACAAATTGATATTGATGAAATAACAAGAACGTGCAAAAGTATCAGTAGTCATTTTCTCCCCCAATCTATTTACATAGAAGCCATTAACTTGTTCTACTAGACCGTCAATACTCAAGCATTCTATGTATTTTACTATGTCCAAACCACAATCACACCTAAAAGATAATAAATAATGGTAAACAAAGTGAAATAACTGATTGAATATGATCAAGTGAATCTTTAATTGTAATAAAAAACTTAAGAAACAATTTGTTTAGTGGTTTTGGTATTCCTTGTTTAGTTTGTCAAACCTTGCTAAGCAATGAGGCTTAAATATGTAACTGTGTCAGATTGAAGATTTCGGTGAAAAAGTAACTTAAACAATCCGTTGGAGATGGAGATTTTGAGAAAAAAGCAGATTCCATCATAAGTAATTAAATGCTCTAGGTATTACGTTCACACCATTTTCCTCAATATGATCGTTCATAAATCTACTCATGTTTAAG